ACCATAATTGAGCCTGAAATTTCTATTGTTCAGCAAGACAGTTGTTAAGTGCCCCATTTTATGACTTTTCTTGCCGCAGATGTTAAGTGAATTATTACAGTTGTTAATTTAGTAACACTGTTGGTAAGTGATTCTGGCTTCCCCATTGTCTTTGCTTATTAGAAGGTTGCCAAAGGTGATCACATGATCTGGGGCACCGTGACTGTCATAAATATGAGACATGCTAAGAGGCGGAATTTTGATCACATGACCATGGGGATACTGCAATGGTCATAAGTATGAAAAATGGTCATAAATCACTTTTTCCAGAGCCATTGTAACTTTGAACGGTCACTAAATGAATGATTGTAAGTTGAGGATTACTTGTATATTTAGGCTTTCTTCCTACAGCACAAGTCGGCAACCCGCGGCTCCGGAGAGGAAAAAGGGAGAGAGAGAGAAAGAGAGAGGGAGAGAGAGAGAAAAAGAGAGAGAGGGGGAGAAAGAGAGAGGGAAAGAGAAAGAGAGAGGGAAAGAGAGAAAGAGGGAGAGGAAGAGAGAAAAAAGGGAGAGAGAAAGAGAGGGAGGGAGAGAAAGAGAAAAAGAGAGAGAGAGAGGGAGAGAGAAAAAGAGTAAGAGGGGGAGGAAAGAGAGGGGGGGGAAAGAGCGAGAGAGAGAAAAAGAGAGAAAGAGGGAGGAAAGAGAAAGGGAGAGGAAAGAGAGAGAAAAGAGAGAGAAAAGAGAGAGAGAGAGAGAGAGAGAGAGAACTCATGCACAGCAGCCTCTATTTCTTTTTAATTAAACTCTTCAATCAAGGTCCCCACCCCTTGCGTGCGCACGCAAGTTTTGTGGCTCCCAGTGTTTTCTTTTCTCTGGGAAACGGGTCCAAGTGGCTCTTTGAGTGTTTAAGGTTGCAGACCCCTGTCCTAGAGTCATTACCACTGAATACTGTGGAGGCATTGATACCACTTGAGAAATTATACGAAGAGTGGAATTTCAGCACTTGATGAGCACTCTGGTTGTGGTAGTTCTTAACCAGGGTTATGGTTATGAGCCTTTATAGAAGAACACTACTGGTTTATAATAGGGGGATGATGCTATTTAGGGATTGTTAATATGTAAGAGATGTTTTGAGCACTATTCTGTTTAAAACCACCTTCCAAAAGATCGCACTCTGTGGGTTTCCATTCCTGAATTTTGTTTGATATCTTCAAGTTCAGTATAGCATCACAGGATATCCCTGTGATTATGATTAATTTTGGCATTAGTAGTCCTGCTTTATGTAACCGGATGCTGTCAGTCTATTGTCCTTGCAAAGTAATTAATTTAAAAACTGTGTTTCACATCTGAGGAATGCCATTCTTATATTTCATATCTCTCTCTTCATGAGACACAGCTGTTAAGCTAGCTGCATATCATCTGCAGCTTCTCCCAACTTGGTGTTCATCCGGAAGCGATATGTTCCCCAGAATTCATGGGCAACAACACACCCAAGTTAAGGGAAAATGATGTAATATTTTTAGCTAATCTGCTTTTGTCCAACCCGTTTATTGGAATAGTGCTGTGGGACTTCATTAAAAATGCAAGTAGGTATTGTTAGGACCGGTAGTTTATCAAATAATTTCCTCTGTATTTTACATAAATATATTCAATAAAGCTGACTGGCAGTAACATAGTTTTCTAATATTTTCTAGTATTCTAATATTTAAAGGCATGAAACTGAGTGCCTAACTTTATTTCATATATTTTTTTTCATAGCTTTATGCCAATTCTGCAGGAATTTTCAGAGAGGGCAGTTACCAGTTTTAAGATCTGCTGGATTTCTTTCTTCTTCCCTTAGTTTTTTCATCAGTACCGGAAAGTGGATTGGTCATTATTTTCCTATAATAGAAGATGGTAGGTTTTACAAATAACTTTCTCTTCAGTCTTGGTATTTCCATCTTGATATCTTTGTACATGACCAATAGTGTTATGAGAGTTGGTTTGGGTTGCTTAGCCATTATGTGTGAAGGATGCTACTGTGGCTTATACTGTGTAAGCTTTTTACTTGACACATAAAAATATAATTTGCAAACCTAGTGTAAAAGGGAGCCTTTGTGAAAGTCTGCATGCTGAAAAAAAAAAATCTCCTGCACCCAGGCGTAAGAATCCACCATGTTTATCTAAGTTATAGGAGAAAAAAGTGCTCTGAATAAGTTAAAAGCCGAGTGGAGTGTTAAAATGTAGTTTCACAATTCCACAGACACAGAATCTCCTATTCCCACAAAAACATCTTGTGTAACTGATTCCAGGAAGGAATTGCTACTTTGGTTTAGCAATAGTTTTATTATAATACAGGGAGAAAAAAATGAATCCCTATTCTCAACACAATGCCTTTCTGATCCTATCCAATATTCCCCTGTAGCTATTCTGTTTAAGACAGGACATACTGATTACGCGTATACTATTTTAATGCCTTTTTCTGAACTTTAAGGTAATATGGGGCCAATTTATAATTTTACAATGTTTGGATGGAAACAGAATTGAGACTTTTAGGAGCCGTGGTGGCTCAGTGGTTAGAATGCAGTATTGCAGGCTAACTCTGCTGACTGCCAGCAGTTCAATTCTCACTGGCTCAAGGTTGACTCAGCTTTCTATCCTTCCAAGGTTGGTAAAAGGAGGACCCAGATTGTTGGGTGCAATATGCTGACTCTGTAAACAGCTTAGAGAGTGCTATAAAGCACTACGAAGCAGTATTTAAGTCTAAGTCAGCGGTTCTCAACCTATGGGTCGCGACCCCATTTGGGGTCGATCAACCATTTCACGGGGGTCGCCAAGCAAGGCTGTCGGCCATTTTTTTTCCCTTTTCCGGCAGGTGCCTTACCTCTCTTGAGCTGGGCCAGCTGGTGGTCGGTCTGCTCAGTCTCTGCCGCTTGCCAGCTACGCCTCGGCCGGCGCAGGGGGCGTAACCACGCATGCGCGGCGCTCCCGGGCAGGGAAAGTCCTCAACTTATGACCGGTTGGGAAGTCCTCGACTTACGACCGGTTTAGTCCTCGACTTACGACCGGTTGGGGGTCGCGGCATTAAAAAGGTTGAGAACCACTGGTCTAAGTGTTATTGCTATTTTACATTATTTTTGAGTTATTATCATATTAGGCTTTTTGCTCAAGGTGGGTCTTTTTCTTGCTGCCAAAGACTGCAGACTATTTTTGACCTAATATATATATATATATTAGAATAGAAATGTATTTAGGTAGAGTTTTCACATATCTCCAAATTTCTTGCATAAAATGTTTGCCATGATGTCTTTCACTGAATATTGGTTAAATAAAACAACTTTTAAAGAAGAGTTAGTGTAATGAATTAATACAGGCATGCTCAATTTGGTGCCCTTCAGATGTGTCAGGATTCCCATCCCACATAACCAATGTTGTTGTTTTTTTTCAATTTTTTTAAAGAAACTTATTTTAATTCTAATATTGCTTTAAATGCACAAAGTAATTCAACCCCAATTATGTTATATCCGTGGACCTCTTAAGTTAGTCCAATCTAGTATAGTTAGAGTAAAATTTGAGGGAAGATTGGAAATGGATAGATAAACTATAAGACTTGCAAATGTGATAATAGAAACATGTATGCAGTCTGTAATGAGAAAGGAAAGAAGTAGAAATGGCTGTGTATTAACTGCCTCACTGCCCACTTTCTTCTATGGAAATAAGACATGCATGCTAGAAGAAATGTCAAAGTAAAGTTGCATGTAGTAGGTATGATGTACTTAGGAGGAGTATATGGTAAAGCAATAATGAATGGATGCTGAACTGTGTATTGAATACTAATATGAGTGATTTATCAATCAAATCTTTATACTGTTATAGACCGGCACAGACATGAGTGAAATAAATACACTAGGATGGTTCGTTGATATAGAGAGAATGAATGAAGCCTGGATGATAAAATCAATATATGGCTTAAAAGGTAGGGGAAAGCCAAGAAAATGAAATGTTTATTCATTTATTCTATTTATATGATGGAGAGGATTCTATTCCAAATGACAGGTACAGTGTCTGGAAGACCTACTTCTTGGCTCTATTCAGATGGCTGTTCTAATAGGCAGAACCTTCTGATCTTATTGGGTGAACAAGAAGATAGATGCTTCTTCAAATATCCTGGTTGTAGGGGACAACCAGTATCTTGAATTGCACCTGAAATCTGCAGGTAGTTAGGGAATCTCACAAAAGAGATGGTTCATGGATGTGATTGGAAGGAGTTGATGGTCCTCAAAAAGAGTTTAAAGAAAAAAAGAAATGCATGAAATTGTATAGATACGATGGAAACAAGGATGGTTTGCAGGCTTAGAAAGGTATGGAGAAGTATGCTGAATTGTATTTTGATTTTAGATATGTTTTTCTATTCTATCTTCAGTTTCTTTTGCTTACCACTTTCTCTTTTTTTCCCTCTTAAAGGGGAAACCAAGTATGCAGAAATGTAAAGCAAAGTTATGAATAACAAGCTTATATCTAGGTTTGAATTTATGTGTGTCTGTCAGTGTACATACCATACCTGTGGGTTAAATGTTAATGATCCAGCATTAGTCTGTCAAATGTGTGTTATGAAAGATGTCTTTCATAACACATATTTAAAAGTGCCCTGGTGGCACAGTGGTTAGATTTGCCCACAGCCTGGAGTTCGATCCTAACAGACTCAAGATTGACTCAGCTTCCATCCTTCCAAGATTGGTAAAACAAGGACCCAGATTGTTGGGGACAATACACTGACATTGTAAATTGCTCAGAGACTGCTCTAAAGCTCTATAGAACAGTATATAAGTCTAAGTGCTATTACTATTTCTAGGTCCTCATTCAGCTGAATAACAAGATAAAGATAGGTGGATCTGCAGATTTACAGCAGATTATAGAGAAAAGAGCTGGTTCTCCCTGACTTTATCTTCCTTTTCATTTATAGGAATCTATCAATGAGAAATGCTAACAGAACTCCACACGGCTGGAACTTAATCATGTGTACAGAGAAAGTCCCTTAAATATCTGAAAGGATCCAAAAGTTGTCTGAAATGCTAAGGAGGAAACTTCGTCACTGTGCTATCCTGCGGTTTAAGCCTCTTTGGGTGTTACTTTGTACAGTTGGAATCTGGTCTTATATTATAGTTCATCAGAAACCAACCTATCAAGATGATGAGCATTTGGAACTGACTGGTGAATATCCTAATGCAGTAAACTGTTCCAAGATACTGGAAGGTGACACAGCGGAAATTCAAAAGGTAAAGCTTGAGCTGTTAACAGTCTCCTTTAGGAGAACCCCAAAAATAACTCCAAATGACTATATCAACATGACAATTGATTGCGCCTCCTTTATTAAGAAGCGAAAATATATTATGGAACCTCTTAGCCAAGAAGAAGCAGAATTTCCCATTGCATATTCAATAGTGGCTTATCATAAAATTAATATGCTTGAGAGACTTCTGAGAATCATATATGTTCCTCAGAACTATTACTGCATTCATGTTGACAAAAAGTCCCCAGAGTCTTTCTTGGCAGCTGTAAAAGGGATTGCATCATGTTTTCATAATGTCTTCATTGCCAGCCAATTGGAAAGTGTAGTGTATGCATCATGGAGCCGGGTACAAGCTGACCTCAACTGCATGAAGGATCTCTATAGGATGAATGTGAGCTGGAAGTACTTAATCAATCTCTGCGGTATGGATTTCCCAATCAAGACCAATCAAGAAATAGTGGAGAAGTTGAAAGCCCTCAACGGTGAAAATAGCTTAGAAACGGAAAAAATGCCTTCAAACAAAGAGGTGAGGTGGAAGAAACATCACGAAGTAATTGATGGCAAGATAAAAAACACAGGGATAGACAAACAGCACCCACCTCTCAACACACCCATTTTCTCTGGAAGTGCCTATTTTGTTGTTAGTAGGAAGTTTGTGGAATATATATTAGAGAATAGCAAAATTCTTGCTTTTATAGAATGGGCTAAAGACACATACAGTCCTGATGAATACTTATGGGCAACAATTCAGCGAATCCCTGAAGTTCCCAGTGCCGTCTCCGCCAGTGGCAAATACGATGTTTCCGATATGAATGCAGTTGCCCGGTTTGTGAAGTGGCACTACTTTGAGGGGGATGTATCCAAGGGTGCTCCTTACCCCCCTTGCAATGGAGTTCACGTCCGTTCTGTATGTGTCTTTGGAGTCGGAGACTTGAGCTGGATGTTACGGAAACATCATTTCTTTGCCAACAAGTTTGATACTGATGTTGATCCTTTTGCAATTCAGTGTTTGGAAGAACATTTACGAGACAAAATGCTACATCAACGCAGACACTAACATGCTGGTGTTATTTTTAAAATGGTACATGTCTTCGTCATTTGATTAAATTGGCAGAAAAGAGATGGAGAATATGAGACCTCTTTTTTGTTTTTAAACAAAGCTTGTAGAGTGATTATCTAGCTGATTATGTCCCCTGAGTTTTCTTAATTCTATTTTTTTTTCTAAGATAGTTTTGTCACAAAAATTATCTTGCAAAAAGCCAGATGATTTTAGGCCTGAAACAAGATCCTCCAGTTTACAACTCAAAGATTTGCACGCTGTTCACCTCTCCTCTGTATATTTTAAAGAATTCTAATAATCTTGATCCTTAGATTGTGCAGCCATTAAGATTACTTTCCTTAGTGGAAAATGGACAATTTTGAGGACAGTAAGGAGGCAAAAACTAAGTACCATGGTGGAATAAGGTCTCAGATTAACAGAAATTTATGAGATTATGAAAATGGAAGTTGAAGTATATTTATGTCTCTATAGTCAAATTATTGAATTCTGCCCCCCTTTAAACTGTACCAGCAATATTTACATGTACATACATATACACAAAACACATGGAAGATTTTTTTTTCTAGACTTAATTTTTTGGATAGACTCTAGTCTTCAGTTTTGTATAGAGGTTTTCTCTACCGAAATGTAGCAGAAGCCTCCCAGTTAAAATATTCTCAGGGAAATAAAATGTATGCCTGTTTGTGTTCATTTTAATATAACTTTATGGCATTTATGTTTGCTGCTTGCTAGACCATTTGTCACTTTTCCATAAAGGAAGAACAAAACAAATCAGTAGAAATGTTAATTCATGATAATTTCTATCATTATTTTTGCTACTAGAAATATTTGAATCTTCTAAACTAAAAAACAGTCCTTTTTAAGCCGTGCTTTTAGGCTAACTGCATCAGCTTTTCTCTTCAGGAGGGGAGGAGTTAATGTCTTTCAGTTCTTAGTCACCAGCAGAACAAAGAAGATCTAGAACACGCAAAATAAGTGCTTTTTTTTTTTTTACAGCTAGAATTCTTTTTCTTTTTTTTTGGTGTCTCTCCTGATGCTGGCTTGGAAACAATTTTTGGAGATGGCATGAGATACAAAATAGGAGTCGAGTTCCCTGCTGAACATCCAAGTGTTCCAAAATAATCCATAATTAAAACTGACTGGACAGAATTCTATCTGCCGGCTGCAATATATTATAGCAAATTATATTTCTATACTACTGGGTTTTTACATGTTTTATTTATGTGTTAATTAAAAAAAAGACAAAGTCTCCTTCAAATTAAGCTTGGGTCTTGTTGACATCAAGGGAAAGTCCATCAGATTTTCTTGGCCAACATTAGTGACCAATGCTGAGGGTTGAGGGATTTTATTTATTTATTCAATGGTCATCCCCATATAGCCGTACTGCCTGGTAGGCAAAGTTGTAGACAAAAGTGAAAATGTTTTAAAAAGAGGACAAAATCCTACCTGGGCTATTGATCAACCAAGTAGGATGAGCGATTATTTAGAAATTTGCCATCAGGAGAATGATTAAAAATGTGTAATTTCAATTATATTACATTGATTATATGTGGGGGACAAAGTTTCTTAAGGATTATTTGCCATGAGTTTGCCTTTTCACTCCACTTTGGACCTACTGCCCACCCTCCTCTTTTGAGGATAGGAACTGCTGTCATCTGACCACAGGTAAAATGAGTTTCTATAGGTCGATGTTTCCCAACCTTGGGAACTTTTAAGATATGTGGACTTCAACTTCCAGAATTCCCCAGCCACCCATGGGGAATTCTGGGAGTTGAAGTCCACATATCTTAAAGTTGCTAAGATGGGGAAATGCTGCTGTAGGATTTTTCCCACAATGCCTGTAATTTTCCTTACGTTACCTTTCTTAAAGATTTTTGCTGCAGATTACTGTAATACAATCTTGTATTCTTTCCTTCACCTTTGTGTCCATCAAATTTTTTTTCAAACTTCCCTACTGGATGATCTTGGCCCTACACTCTCTTGATTTGGGGCTTCCAGTAGCTGATTAGAGAGGCTTATGTTGAGACATCTAGCTTGGCATAATCCTAAAATATTACTGAAAACCATAGTTTAGCTATGCAATTGGACCATGGCAAGACACAGCAATGGCTCCTGATCTATCTTTAAAAGGATTAGCAGATTCAGCAAGACATCGATCCTGGTTATCTCATTGGATTCATTTGGCACATGAATGAATTCTCTGACATCTGAATTGATATGTTCTTACATATGATGGTACTCACCCTTCAGTTAGGGCCAATTGATGTCTTCCAAAAATATCCAAACATGCAGTAAATCATTGTATGCGATAATTTATTTTAATTTTGTATGTTATTTCACACTACTGAAGATCTCATCTGATGATAACTGATTATAAATTACAATTCACTGATTATAAGTGAATGGAATTTTGTTAGCTACCTTGGCATTCATTTGACCAATTCTGTGTTGTAATGCTCAAATACAGTTACCAAATTATTTAATAAATAATATGTGATATAGTAATATATGGGTTTCTTTATTAATCTGTTAATAACAACACAGATCGTCCTTGATAGTCCTTGACTTAACAACCACAACTGAGACCAGAATTCCTATGGCTAAGCAAAGTGGTGGTTAAGTGAGTTATGCCCAATTGTGCAATCTTTTTTTGCCACAGTTGATAAGTGAATCACTGGAGTTGATAAGCGAAACACATGGTTGTATGCAAATCTGACTCTCCCCTCCCCCATTGATTTTCTTGTTGGAAGGCAGCTGGGAAGGTCGCAAATGGCAATCACATGACCTGGAGATGCTGGAGCCACCATAAATGTGCCAAATGCCCACATTTTGACTGCAAAATGACCGTTGCAATCCTGCAGTAGTTGTAAGTGCAAGGACTTACAGTGCCATTGTAATTATAAATGGTTGCTAAACGAATGAATGTAAGTTGAGGGCCATTGTAATTATTTTTTCCAGTGCCATTGTAATTATAAATGGTTGCTAAACGAATGAATGTAAGTTGAGGGCTAGCTACCACCTTCAAGCTACAATAATTTAAGATAACAAGATTTGTTGCAGTTCACAAATGTTTTTGGAACCTAGAGTTTATACATTACTTTGTTGCTTACATGTAAAACTAAATTTCAGGTAGGGCGTAGGGAAAATAAGATATTTTTTTTAATAGACCAGCTAAAATGTAATCACTGATCTATAGACTCCAGCTAAAGACTCCTGGTCTAATTAACAGTGCTTTTTTTCTAAAAAAAAAAAAAAAAAAAAAGGTGCTGGAACTCACACACGTCATGCAACCCGCCTTGCCTACCCTACAAGGTTCCATCCAAAAAAGATGCCGGAACTCCATTCTGGGCGTTCTATGAGAAAAAAAGCCCTGCTAATTAATATTATGTTTCTATAGATGCAAGAGCTCACAAAATGCCAAGTGAGAGACAACCTGGTCTTCAGAGAGGTATTGATGTACATACTGTTTTCAAACACTGTGGAAGTCGCTGACTATTGTCAAGGAATTGCTCAGTAAAATGTAACAAATATGCTTTGAGATGCTTGCTTGATCCACAGCTGCAGAAATACTATACTGCATTGAACAGAAAACTTACAGTATTGGAGTCCGATGCTTTTTTTACAGCATTCTGTTTTAGCTATGGTTTCTGATGTTTGCATATTTGCCATACTGTTGTAAAAATTGGCCTGAACGAATTTAGCATTAGAGAAAATCTGCTGCATTTTGATAAAATTCTAAGAATGTGATCCTTCTTGTGCTAAAGTAAAACCCTATTTGGGATTTCCAATTGTCAAGCAATATCCTATAGCAGGGGTCCCCAATCCCCGGTCTGTGGACTGGTACTGGGCCGTGGCATGTCAGCAACCAGGCCGTACAAACAAGCAAAGCCCCATCTGCGGGATGCAGGCAGCACACAAAACCACGCCCACTCCAGTCCGTGGAAAAACCTCTCTCCACGTAACCAGTCCCTAGTGCCCAAAAGGCAAGAGACCTCTGTCCTATAGGTTTTAACAAGGAATATGCAATGCATGGAAATGCCCAGAATGGAAAAATGCCCAGTATGGAAAAAGGCGCTTTTTCAAGAGGCAACTGGACTTTCTTGTTTTTCTTTGAAGACGTTTCACTTCTTATCCAAGAAGCTTCTTCAGTTCTGACTGGATGGTGGGGAATGGAAGGATATATATTCCTTGCAAACAGCTGGTCATTTTCATTCTTTTAAAGAGTCACTGAGGCCACCTGGAGGTTTTTGGCGGTGTCCTCAGGGTCACCTGAGTAGTGCAGATGTAGTAGAACTGCTGAAAGGACAGTGTTGTGGAGCTGTGCTTTCTGCAGGATATTTTCTGCCCTGTGTCCCTTCACCCTTGACAGGCGCAGGCTGTTGGGGGATGAGTCTGTGTGGGCTCCATCTCGAAGTGCAAATGGTTCCTGTAGTCTGCATTTTTTCTGAAAATCTGTTCATACTCCCGCATCATTCAAAGGGTGCTCATCCCAAAGTGCCTAGCTAAATGTCTATGGAGATTCTGTGTCATCTAGGTCACGATTGTCCCAAAGGTGCTTTTTTTTTTTTTGACCAACTGTCTGCAAGGAATATAAACCCTTTCATTCCCCACCATCCAGTCAGAGCTAAAGAAACTTCTTGGATGAGAAACGAAATGTCTTCAAAGAAAAAGATAAAAAGTCAAGTTGCCTCTTGAAAAACCACCTTTGGGACAACCGTGACCTGGATGATTGAGAATCTCCATAGACATTTTGGATGTGCAAATTTCTATGTGTGAGTCACTTTTAAGATGTAAGAGTTTTACTGCACGAAAGTCAGCCAATGAGATACAAGGAATGATGCAAATAAAATACAGAATAAAAGACAGTGGGGGTACTCAACTAGTTGATCTTTCAAGTGAAGTAAGTTTCAGTACTTCCTAAGGTTCTGAACTTAGCAATTTGCCTGGTTTTTTCCAAACTAGCAAGCCAAGCCCTTGGCTTTTAAATTTAAATTTATCCAGGGTTTCTTG